AGGCTTCCGGTTGGGGGGAAGGGAGGAAGGGAGCTGGGGGCGGGTTGAGGCAGGACCAGGCTGGCCTTGCCACTGTGTCCTGCTGGCTCCCCTTGGGTCTGCCCCTGTCTCCTGTCATCTTTGACAAGCAGCCAGGAGCAGATAAATATTCATTTTCTAAATTTTGTAGAGACCCCATGGGCCAGATAGAATGGTCTGGCAGGCTGGATCCGGCCTGTGGGCTGTATTTTGCCCACCCCTGGTCTTAAGAGAGCACTAGATTGGGCTTCTGACCACTGAGCAGAGATTTAAATAAATTATTTTGCCGGTAGTGGGTTGAGACAGCCAGACTGGCATGGGACACTCAGCATTGCTACTTGTTGCTACTTCAGAGATGGGAAGTGTGCACTCCTTCCTTGACATTTTGCCTGAATCTAGGTGCACGGGATGTACAGCAGTCCAGCTGTACCAAGCTGACTATACACCCTTATTGCTAAGGAGTAACATCAGTTTCTCTGTGAACAGAACACACGTTTGCTCTTGGGGGCAGGGGAACAAATCTTAGACAGGGTTCCATCATTTTTAAACTGGCTGTGTGTGCCGAATTTCCATTCTGTTACTGGTATAGACTGGTATCTGATCACTTACACCAATAAAAACATAATATCTATACCTGGCCCTAATGGCTAAACTTCCTTCATATGCTAGGGAAATGCTACCTCAGCACCTTCCTTGTCTTCTGAGCCCACTTTCTTCACCTTCTCCCTTCAGTCACAGTGCAAGTACACAGAATCCCCAAGAGCACAGGCCTTGCTGGGGCAGCAGTATGAAAAGGAATAATTGGAGGACTAAAGGACTCTGGAGAGAATAAGAATCCTGCCTCCACACTCCCCCAGCTATACAGTCTATTATCATTCAGTAACTCCCCACTGAAATGATACTAGCTGACACTGGGTCTATGTACATGTGCCTATTAATGTGCAGCAATAAGATCCAGAGCAATAAGCCTTGGAGCTAATTACTCCAGGATCGCAGTGTGTGCACCCAGAATTGCAGCACGTTGAGCCAGGGTGGAGCAGTCCCAGCTGGCATGTCCTGAGGGTCAATGTGGGGCTAGCTAGTGTTCTTCATTATGGGGTTAGCTAGCAGGCAGCCTCTACACTGAAGCACCCTCATGCCCCAGCCAGCCAGGGCAGCATCTACACATGTGCTGATGTGGAGTTTTTTACTCTGTAGCAAGATAGTACTTGTATTAACAAGCACTATTCTGCTGCAGAGTAAATTAGTTTGCTCCAGCCTAATAGGGGAGCACATGTAGATGGTGAGACATTTACTATGCACCTAATTAGCCTACTGTGAAGTAAACATCTTGTGTAGATGTGCCCATTAATGTTTTTTCTTAACATTTGAAAAAGAACACAATAAAGAGTAAATTGTATAATCTTATTCGTCTGCAGTGATGCTACAACCCTAATGCAGATTGCAGCTGAAATTTTCAGTCACCTGGGAATCTAGCTGCCAAGTCCATTTCCTTCTAATGGGCAATCCAATGGGCATTTAAATCTCTTAAGTGCCTTTGAACAACCCAGCCTACAGCATTCGTCACCAGAAAGAAACTGATGCTATTTTAGTTGCCACGGAATGTAATTTATGGCTGAGAATACAAATATTAAAGTTTTATGTATACAAGCCTTAAAAAGCATGTAATCAACCCACTTTCATACCACTCAACAGATCAATCATTCTAATTCTGTTCAGAAAAATATTATTCTGCCCCAACAACACATAATTTGGGGAAGTTATAAGCAAAATAGTAAAATCAGCAATATACATTCAGTAGCACATTTCCATCAGAGAATAAAACAGGAAGCACAGTGAAGTTGTGTGGGCAGTATAGAAGTGAAAATGGGTGATGAAGGATTACATGGCAAGAGGGAAAAGTCTGGATTATTGGTTTAGACAGATTGTATAACCAGTACAGAATTTTGTTTTAATAAAATATAATTTTGCTGTCTTTCTTTGAAACACATTGTGAAGGAATTAATTGACAGTTATTAACTGCTTCAAGACCCGAGAATAAAAAAGGTGCTATAATATTTCAACAACAATAACTCAGTTAGCAAGCAATGATTGGTAGGAAATATTTCATTTTATATGGTATTTTGGTCAAAATATGAAATATTAGAGAAAAAATGTCAATTGAAAATGACCAGCTGCAGTTGTTCTGCCAGAGTCCCATATTAGGATGTGAAGAAAGCTAAGTGGTGCGATTCATAGATTGTAGAGTCAGAACGGACCACAAAGGATCATCGTGTCTGACCCCCTGCCCCTGGCAGGAAAGAGGTCTGAGGTCAGATGACCCCAGCCAGGTGTCTATCAAGCCTCCTCTTGAAGACCTCCAAGTTAAGTGATAGTAACGCCTCTCTTGGAAGCCCATTCCAGATTCTGGCCACCCTCACTGTAAAAAAATTTCTTCCTAGTGTCTAACCTGAATCTACTCTCCACTAGTTTGCACCCCTTATCTGAAGGGAAATTTCAATTACAAAAACTATGAAACTAAGGTGTCAAGCACTGGAATTATACAAGTTGTTTTCTCTTTCATTTGGCAGATATGAATGATAAACTAAATCTTAGAATAAAGATAAACCAAATCTTAGAATAATAGTCACCACAAAAATGTCAAAATGTATTAACAGTTTCCAGTGTGGTTTCAGAGATACCAGTTTTTCCCTTTATCTAGACTAGGAAGTAATCATAACAACTTTGATGACAAGTGCTGGTTTCTAATAGCAATCACTGTAGAAATTACACAGTGATTAATGAAATAAGTAATCTAATAAATCACTTTCTAAAGACATATTCCATGATTATGGTTTTGTACCCGAATCCTCCAAAATTGCCAGTCTGAGAGTCAAAGTCCATTCTCAGTTACATTGATGTATGGATGTGAAGTAATTCCACTGGAACATCATCATTCCAGTGTAAAACTAGAGTGGTATTTATTTGGTGTAGTGACCTTTGGGTGAAAGGAATTATCTTTCGGAAGTTGCAGATATTTTCATTTGTGCACACCTGCATCAGAAAGGCAACAGAAGTTCCAAAGATCCATTGTGGAAGCAGAAAAAAATCAGTTATCTGCATGTTTTTTTCCTATTAAGAAACACTCATCAACATAACTAGCACTAACATTTGACAGGTAAAGGAACCTTGTGACTACTTAAGTGTTTCTATATGACCAACCCCAGGAAACCTTATCAGCTGACACCCAAAAAGGAGAGAATCATGTCACTCTAATTTCCTTATAACTGTCCAGGTAAACTAATATCTAGTGTAATTTCAATTCATGCTTCAGGGCATGAGCTAATCATCAGCTGGGCTCAGGGAGAATTTTCCCCTGTGGTTTATAGTGTTATGCAGGTATAACACTTCACTTGATGCATCTGCCACAGACCCTCATTTCACTAGGTGACCCATGGGTCTGTTTTCGAATAGAAATTCCTATGCGGATTACAAAGTGGTTAAAGACTCCCATGGTTTAACTCACGTGCAATACAGGCAGTTTTCACCTGCCTGGGTCAAAATTGCATCTGGAATGAGGCTTGGGGCTTCTTCTCCCTCCACAATTTCCACAGTTATGGCATGTGCTAGACCATAAAATGTGCTCAGGAACTGAATAACAAATCATAGAATCATAGAAAATGAGGGTTGGAAGGGACCTCACGGGGTTAATCTAGTCCAACCCCCTGCTCAAAGCAGGACCATCCCCAACTAGAACATCCCAGCCAAGGCTTTGTTTAGGTGGGTTTTGAAAACCTCCAAGGATACAGAGTCCACAACCTCTCCAGGTAACTTGTTCCAGTGTTTTACTATCCTCCTACCCTCCTACCCAATATCTAACCTAAACTTCCCTTGCTGCAACTTGAGAGCATTGCTTCTTGTTCTGTCATCTGTTATCAACAAGAACCGTCTAGCTCCATCCTCTCTGGAACCACTCTTCAGGTAGTTGAAAGTTGCTATTAAATCCCCCCCTCAAATGGTTGCCAAGTCTTGTTATACTTGCAGAGCTACATGAGGAGGGTAGATTAGAATGGGGAAGTATTTCTTAAATC